CATAAGGTGGTGACTGATTATAACCCCTGTCAGGTTTATTGCTGTGTTCCCAGGGAGGCTTACTATCACTTTTGTTCCCTAGACTGGACCTGTAACTTCCTGACTTTGGAAAAAGAAAAGAAAAAATGGTGCAGTACCTCAGAACAGACAGAAGAATTCTCTGTAATGATAAGAAAGGAACACCAGAGGATGTCCACCTAAGTGTAGCATTAGAAAGACTTTAATGATAAAAAGATAATAAACAACTCACAAAGGTGGCAAAATATGGCTCCTGCCATTAGCACATCCCAACCGATCCATGGATGGATAGCAAATCACTCCCATTCCAGGAAAGATCTTCACTCGTTGGCCAGACGGAAACAACTAGGAAGAAGGCTAAGAAGGAGGAACTAGGAATCCGGACAGAGTGCAGTGCCAGACCAGAAGTGATGTCAGACATTTCTAGAGGGCATAGGGGCATGACTATGTGTTTTAGAGCCACCCAGACTTCTTTCTCAAGCCTATCTAGAAAGGCTTGAGAAAGGAGCCTGGGCAGCTCTGAAATGTGTCCTTCCACATGGGATCTGTACTGGGATGTGCTTATGACAGGTGCCATATTTTGCTATTTGTGCGAGCTGTTTATTGTCTTTTCATCTTTAAAATCCTTCTAATACTACACTTAGGTGGGTGCCCTCTGGTCTTCCTTTCCTAAGCTCTCTTACTGTTAAGAAATATTTTCTTTCTAAATGAGAGGAATGGAAAGGGCATCTTCCCATGGTGTTTTATTCCCTACTCTATCAAAAATTGAAACAATGGCTATAGGTATACTTTAAATTAGTAAATAAGTGGGCTATATAATGGAAGGTTTAGATATAGTAAGAAGAGATGAAGGACTGTCACTACTCAGTAAAGTGCAGCAAACAAATAAATCATACCCATAAAAGTGTAAACATATAATTCATATCCATACAAATGTCATTTATCAGACTTACAATAGCAATCTTATTTAAAGGAATATTTGTCTGCAGTTCAACTTTATTCAATGTTAGAGCAAAATGTCCTCAATCAATGTGCATTTGGTTCCCATGTTTGTATAAAAAAGGCAACAGTTGTGTGAATTGCATATATACTGTACCTTGGTGAACGGTCACTAAACTGAGGAGAAACATTGGGGGAATGTACAAAGACAGACGCATATGGAAAAGTGCTCCAGGTTCTAAAATAAATATATCCCTATGCAGGCGGGCCAAATAAAAAGCCTATTGTAAGTAGATTGCTAATTTGGCACATGAGGAAATATAAATGTAGAACAGGGACTTAGAAGAAGAAATGTGGCTCAAAAAAGGTTTTGGGTGCAAAGTAGGTAAAGATATATATTGTATCGAAATGTGTTTTCATGAGACAAAAACGAACACAAATATTGAACTTTGTTGTGAAATATGAAATTCAAATCTATGTGTTATTTTTTGTGTTTCCAAACTTTATAATACTGATCATATGAAGGTTTGAGATCTAAATACATCCAAAAATAATAGACATTTGCGAGAGAAGCTGGGAAGAAAACCTGGACCACATTTTAATTTATGAGACATTTGAATCCTTTTCATTTCCCTTTTTAAATTCAAATGTGCTCATTGGAAGAGTAAATCACCTTTTATGATGGGTGTCCCACATGTGCAGATGTTGCTGCGTGCCATAAAACTAATAGTTTAGTTATTACAGTTTGTAGTGGGTACCAAGATTGTGCAGAATTTTAAAGGGTGCCTTGAGATTGTGCAGAATTTTAAAGGGTTCCTTGAGATTGTGCAGAATTTTAAAGGGTGCCTTGAGATTGTGCAGAATTTTAAAGGGTGCCTCAAGATTGTGCAGAATTTTAAAGGGTTCCTTGAGATTGTGAAGAATTTTAAAGGGTGCTTTAAGATTGTGCAGAATTTTAAAGGGTGCCTTGAGATTGTGCAGAATTTTAAAGGGTGCCTCAAGATTGTGCAGAATTTTAAAGGGTTCCTTGAGATTGTGCAGAATTTTAAAGGGTGCCTCAAGATTGTGCAGAATTTTAAAGGGTTCCTTGAGATTGTGCAGAATTTTAAAGGGTTCCTTGAGATTGTGCAGAATTTTAAAGGGTGCCTTGAGATTGTGCAGAATTTTAAAGGGTGCCTCAAGATTGTGCAGAATTTTAAAGGGTTCCTTGAGATTGTGAAGAATTTTAAAGGGTGCTTTAAGATTGTGCAGAATTTTAAAGGGTGCCTTGAGATTGTGCAGAATTTTAAAGGGTGCCTCAAGATTGTGCAGAATTTTAAAGGGTTCCTTGAGATTGTGCAGAATTTTAAAGGGTGCCTCAAGATTGTGCAGAATTTTAAAGGGTTCCTTGAGATTGTGCAGAATTTTAAAGGGTGCTTCGAGATCGTGCAGAATTTTAAAGGGTGCTTTGAGATTGTGCAGAATTTTAAAGGGTGCCTTGACTAAAAGAAGGCTAAGAAACACTGGTCTAAAAACTCCCCACCATTGAAGATCACTGGAGCATCTGGCATAGTTTACGATGAAGTTATGGGGTGAAGAAAGGGAGATGAGTAGAATGCATCTAACTCTCCTACAGGCTAACCTTCTGGTATTTCCATAGTAATGGGCAAAGAGTAAGAAGGCCCACAGGACTCTTATATATGACACCTTCATACTAAAAATATAGTCAACTGATAAACTAAGTATTATGTCTAAGTTCCCCTCCAGATTTTAAGCATTATGTTTACTGCTAAACTACAGATGGTTTTGGAGTTTTAAGGAAACAAGAACCATCATTAAGAAAACAAGCCTAAATGAGCATGCCAACAGAAGATTTTAATCCAGGGTTTAATGTACATGTCTGAAAAATGAGACATTAACCACAATTACGTGACTCTCATTTATATAAATGTTCCTCATTTATTCTAATAATAAGCTTACTGTAACTGATTTGAAAAATACCAAGTCCACATATCTGCAAGACAAATGAGCCATTACATTTGGCAACAGTCCTTTTTTATTTATTTATTTATTTATTTATTTATGTATGTATGTATGTATGCCTTTGTTGTATCACTTTTTGTTTTTCTCCAAGATCTGTTTGCAGTACGGGATTCTGGGAGCAAAAAAAATGTGACTTGAACTTTTTATTGACGACTTTACAAAAGAAACATAGATTATAGCTTCACAAAGTGGATATGGCTTTAAGCATGACTCCAGCAATACGTAATGTTTCAGCTGCAGACCAAATAAGTTTGTGCAGTAAAGTGGCAGCTAACAGTCAACAAAACTTTGAACACTCTTCAGAAATGTAATTTGTCAGGTTTGCACCCACCAGTGGACATCCAGCAACCCTCAAATTAGCCCAATCAAGTTTCTTTATGTAATATAAGCTCTTGGGCATTGCATGAAGGCTGATAGCAAAACAAGAAACATGGCTTAATCCCTTCCCACCCTGGCCCTTTAAGAGGTTCTAAATGCCAGGAGGTAGAGGCAGGCATTCTGATCATGTGACCGAAGTCACAGAGGTCACATGATCAGTAAGTTCCCATTTGCAAGTATGGTACTGTGCTGGGAACGTGCTGTCGGGACAGTAATGTGTTTACATAGGGATGCATATACCTGTATGTGGCCGCTCGGCGTTAAAGCACACCCGCCAAGAGACCACATATATGCATAAGGCCAGTGGGAAGTGGTTAAAAGCCTGTTAGCCTCTGCAAGCAATCATTTCTATTGTCTTCCCATCATGTTCTGTACATCCAACAAGTAAACTGGGAGATTGATTCATTCATTTCTATTAGCAGCATAGTATGATAAATCATGTTTTTTAATTAAAGCATTATTAAGTGTTCTTGCATGGCAAGACCACTTACTGTTATCTCACATATATATTCCTATTATTATAGCCAAATTTACCACCCTAACTCCTCCACAGTTTTTACACTACATAGACAGTAATATACGAAACGTGTGGATTGTTCCTGATTGGTGTGCTATTACTTTGTGGAACGTTTCGCTGAATGATTCACAAAATATTGGCGTTTTTGTGGTGAAATTGGTCCCATGAATGAATGGCGGAATGTTCAAAACTAGAGTGGGAGCTGACAAAAGCTAGAGTGTGAGCTAAAAAATCAGGACATGATTTCTAAACTGCCACCACTCCCTCATTTTCAAGCCCACCTACACAAATCTTATATCTTATACGTTCAGCTATCCCTGCTGCCACTAAAAATGTCCACGGCTAAGCCATAGTCCTGATAGTTTTCACAATATGACCATTTGTTTGCAACTCACGCCGCCCATTGACATTCATTGAAACTCCACTCTAGCCACCTCAAATTTGAAGGGCAATTTCAAAACTGCGACTGTGCCTTCATTTTTAATATTTAAGAGACATACTATGCATCACAATGTAGGTCTGGGTCTTGTGATTCTCACAATATAAAGCTCTTCAGTGTAGGATTTATAATTTTTCAACTACAACCATTTGAAGATGGCAACCGCCAATAAAGTGAGCAAGTTGGAGCAGTTTGTTTTTAGCCGCTCTTCTCTGTCCTTGCTGTAGAGTGAGTTGCCATAGGAACCCAGGTGTGTGAGCAAGCAGCAGAGTGACAAAAGCTAGAGTGTGAGTTGTAGACTACTGGTGGAGGCAAGAACACTTCACACAATTTCCACAGAAATTGTAGCTTTTCTAGTTACTACTTTATAATAATATGATAATAAGTCGTAGACATTTTAAAACACATATTTCTAAAATTTAACTATTCATAGTTCATACCTTCTAAATATGGTGCTGAAACCTAGTTGGCTTTTGAATTGGCAAGGCCAACACAATTTTGTAGGGTCTTTGGGATGCTACTCAGAAGATTCTGCTGGATGCATAATGCGTTCCTTGAATTTTCAGGTAAATCCATCAGCAGATGTAATTGTGTCATCTCAATTGACATCTATCGGTGCTGAAATATGTTTTAGGACAGTATTGACAGCATAAAACTGCTGCATGTCTTTATTTTTTTGCATTCCTACCAGGGGTGGACTGACCATTTGGAAACTCGGGCACTGCCTGAGGGTCTGGGGTCAGTAGGGGGCCCCATGAGATGCCCCTGGTACCTTTTTCATAGGCTTTTTTGAGTTTGGGCAAGGACACAGGGGCCCCATGATCCCCTATTGCCCAGGGGCCCCATGAGTTGTCAGTCCACCCCTGATTCCTACTCTACTTCCTAGATCAACAGTTATTTAGCACTTTTTAGCACTTTGTCTTTGTCTTTGTTTTTCTTGTGGCTTCAATAAAATTTGGTGAACTTTTGTTAATTTAGGTTGAATTATACATGTAATTTCCAGTAGATTATATCTATGTTATTTCAATTAGAATACTAAACAACACTCCTTAACGTGCTGCCCAAGTCACAATTTTCTGATTTGAGGTCACAATCACAAACTCCTCCCAAAGTGTCCTGCCAAAAAGGGTATCACAAGGGTCTCGGTAAGCACCACTGATTAAGTATTTCACCATGAAATTTTACATTATTTGGCTTATCTTGACTTGGAAATGCTTGCATGTGATCTTCAGAGCTTATTTCTGGGGAACCAGCTGCAGAACAGAACAGAACTTCTCGGACCAATGAATTCTTACAGGTCATTTACTTGTCTTTATCTATTTTATTTTCCAGCTATCTATTTATTGTGCCAGTAAAGAATGCCTGACATCTCCTGGGGCAGTCACTGTGCCATCTGTATGCCTAGGATTCTTTTACATCCCTTTGACTTTGCACTGAATTGTAGAATTTCTCTATTCAATTGTGAACACTTTGAATGCCCCTGGATATGCTGTTTTGTAACATTTTTCAGGAGCCATATGGTCAGGGGCGGACTGACAACTCATGGGTCCCCGGGCAATAGGGGATCATGGGGCCCCTGTGTCCTTGCCCAAACTCAAAAAAGCCTATGAAAAAGGTACCAGGGGCATCTCATGGGGCCCCCTACTGACTCAGGCCCTCAGGCAGTGCCTGAGTTTTCAAATGGTCATTCCGCCCCTGCATATGGTACTCTGCTGCAAGTGGAGTTGGATCTTAGCTTGGACCAACTGTTCAAATACATCACCGTTCGGCAACAAGTTCTGCACTTGTGCAATTGCTTACAGAAGGCTGCAGAGGTAGGCTGCAGATAATTTGTCTTTGTTCTTTTCAGGAATACATAGTAAATATTGCAATTAGAAATTTCTTCATCAAAAAAAATATCACCCCTACTGCAGACTGGGTGTCAATACCAAAATGCCCATGTGCACTTGTGCAATTGTATGCAGTAAAACTGTTGGGAAACCCAATTTATGTTATCAAATTATCCACAGGCTTAAAATTAAAGTGTTACTAAACCCAGGACCCTACATTCACTATATCTGGTCTCTCACAGTACACAGAACATGGAAATGGAATCATTTTAGTAAATACCCTGCTTAATACCTTATTTCATCAGCAGTTAGAGCAGTGATGTGACTTCTATCAGTGTCCAGCAGAGCACTGGTTAAAGTTTGTAGGAGGAGTTTTCATTCTCCCTATTCTTGTTCTATGATGCTGGAAGACTCCTGACCCTCTATCTGACCAGCACTGATTGGCCCTGTGCTGATCACCTGCACTGTCCCAAGAAAAAAAAAAATCTTTAGCAATACACACCAAGCTCAGCATGTGCAGCTTGCCCCCAAGGCTCTGTTCTATCAGGAGATGGACTGGGGACAGTATAAGAAGGGGAGGATCAGAGAAGACAGGATCAAACCGTCTTTTTACATAATGTGGAGCATTAACCCCTTAGGTTCCACAGTGAGTATAACAAGAAAGCTTTACTGCATATACAGACTGATTTTACTGTTGTGGGTTTAGTAACACTTTAGTTTTCATGCATGCTGCAATTTTTATGCAATAATAAACATTTTTCAGGTAGTCTGGCTAGTTGCAATATGGTATAATGGTAAATCTGCACTATGGAAAAGTTAAGTTCTTGAATATAATAGAAAGCATTAACACTTTGCTCCAACAGCAATTTATGAAATTTGAAACTTGTTTTGCTGGTTAATACTACACAGCAAATCCAAAAATTAGCAAAATGAGTTATTGTGGCCAGTGCAGGGACAAGGTCAGGCAGTGCCCAGGGTGAGATCTGGTTGAGGGCTGGCAGGGCATACACGATGGAATGTTCACATGGGAATTTGATGACAAAGCAGGCAATGGTATGCACTTAAAAGTAAATATCTTCATTTTTCTTTTATGTTTGACTTTTTATGACAACCTGATAAGAGAATGAGCCCTTGAAATCACAAAGTGATTGTAGGGTTTCAAGAATATATGAAAGACGTTCATATATGAAGTTGGGAATTGTAGAAAAAAAACAATCATATTAAACTAGGTGGCTGAAGCGTCGGTCTGATACTGCATCTGTTCCTTGCTGCTTCTTAGACTGAGAGCTGAATGATTGAAGGCTGCTGATTGCTCAGTTCTTGGTGTTCAGTGAGCAGAGTCATTGACTCTCTGCTCTGCCCCTTCAGTGCTCAGTGGAGTGCCAGGATGCCAGGGGGCAGGAGCAGCTGGTTCAGACTCCTAGTGGCTTGGAGTCAGCTGTCGGTCCAGACATCTGAGTGGATCCCATTATTATTGTTGAGTTCTTTCCAGAATCTGGACTGGCTCTGTGATGTGAGCTTTAGCCCACTGTTGGCTGAATATGGGTCATGGGAGTGCAGAACAAACTGCACTCCTGTGATTCCCTGGAGAGGTAGGGCCACGAAAGCTTTGGCTGTACCTTTCCTTTAAGGCAGTACTGTATTTGCTGATAAATGATGAAACATATTAATTCAAACAGTGTATGTGTTGAACTGAATTTTATAACAGACTTTTGCAATTTCCTATACAACAGCACTCAGACTGGGAAAAAGAGGGGCAGAAATGGGAGCCAATCAAATATGCTGCATGCAAATGTATTGAGAAGGAACATGCTGATATGAGGAAAGAGCAGAGTGAGAAGATGGCTGAGCTTATCATTCTGATGCTGCTCTTTCACTGTTCCGTCAGGGGCTAGGGGTGGAGATACCATACTATACCTTAACTGTAACACTCCAGTCACACCAAACCCAACTTTAACCTCTTGGCGCTGGCCGCACTCAAATGTGTGGCCTCCCGGCGTCTGGGCCTTGACGCCAAGCGGCTGCACATTTGCATGCAATTAAGGAAAACATATGTGCTGAGAGCATGCGCCCTGTGCGCTCCTAGCACACATGTCCGGTACTCACGGAAAGGTCCCGTTCTCCTCTTTCGAGTGGGACCTTTCCCAATCATGTGACTGCCGTGACGGTGTGTCACAGTGGTCACATGACTCTAAACCCCACAATGCCTCCTGGCTTCTGAAATTCTTAAAGGGTCAGGAGGCGTCAGCACCAAGAGGCCATTAATCGTGAGACTTACAGCGAAGTCGCACGATTTCAAAGTCAGATGGCATGCCGATTTCAGGTGTGATTTGCAAGATATCTGACACAGATGTCTATGCAAATCGCACCAAAAGTAGTGCATGTACTTTAGAAATTGGTGTGGCTCAGACCAAGTCAGAACCGCACTGATATGACCGCTGTAATTGCGGACAATAGGGTGCGACTTGGCATGCGAATCGCAGGTCGCCTGGCATGCAAATCACATGCCTATTCGCATCCAGTGTGACCGGGGACTAAGTGGTTTCATCCACCTGGTGATAATGTTGCTGGATGATATGAGGTGGTGACTAACAGCATTTACTAGTGGAAATGGGAGTTGGAGTTTCTCATTCTCTTAGAAGCTACCAGTGTTGTTGATTAGTGGCGACTATAAGAAAATCTCAGGCTTCAAAACTATATACACCTAAAAAATATATATATATATATATATATATATATATATATATATATATATATATATATATATATATATATATATATATATATAGATATATATAGATAGAGAGATAGATAGATAGATAGATAGATAGATAGATAGATAGATAGATAGATAGATATAAATAAAAAATATCTATAAATAAATAAAAGCTGCCACCAAAAAAAAATTAATATGTTCCAAAAATGTGAGACATCAAAAAATTCCATAAAATTCCAAAAAGTCCATAAATCCTTCAGATTTCCTGATGCTTGCCCAGTATATGTTTAGAAGACAACACCATCTAACATGTAATTAGTCTCTAGGAAAAGACACTGTAGGTTAGACAGACCCAATAATCCAAGAAGTCGTTGTTTACAGTTTCAGGAACGGTGAAACAGTTGAAGTACATCATGATCATCCTGTTCAGTACTCACTATACAGAACTAAGCCCTTTTCAGAGAAGTTCACAGAGTGGCTCATGCCAAGTCCGAATAGTACATTGGTAGTCTAGTATATAAAAAAAGAATTGACACCTTTCCAGAGGAGTTCACAAAGTGAGTCATACTAGGATAAGGTAGCAAGCCAGAACTCAAAGAAAAATGTAGGTAAGCTTCTTTACAAAAACCACAACAAAGTAACAAAGTTAAGCGACGTTCCAAGAAATACAGATACCTTTGTACATCTCACATACAAACATTATTTTTACTTTTAAGTACAGACTGCAGAGAACTGCCTGAAAATATCTTAACAAAATATGTTTGTTTTGAACAAAGGATTTTCAGGTTTTATTGTTTTTTATAAATAGACAATTAGGAGATCAGTAGGACCCCTTCAAAAAAGAGGTTTCAAAGGAGAACCAACAGTGGTATAAATACGACTAACAGCTTTATTGAGATTACAAAAAGGTAATAAGGCCAGTAGGTCAGAAATCCTCCATTCACTTTAAAATAAGGTATGATAAAGTTATCACCTTTAAAAACCGACCCGGGCCACACATATATTTATACAAAACGCTCATCAACTACCGTCTGTCTTAAATGAGCATAGTAAATGAGTCAGTAATATCCAGAGCCTCATGTAACGGGTTAACCAGCAATCAGCCAATACGGCAGTAACAGGATTCTGGGGATCAGACTCACCAGGTATACCCAGTAACCAGCAGAATGATAATAACTATCATATATGTACACATGGGTTAAAGGAGGCTAAATGAATTCCCTATACGGGTTATATGTGCGGTTTAAGTCCAGGTCTATGACCACTGCAATAATTGTATCCCCATGGCTAAAACATAGGTGCACTAATATAGGGAGTTTCAAAGGCTCACAACTTGA